AGGCATAGAGATGGGTAAAAGGAGAGGGTTGAACCCCACTTGCCCGATGAACCGGCGCGAAGTCTCTCTCAGCCTCGGTGGCGGCCGAGTGCGGTGGCGGCCGCGAGCGAGCCCACAGTGACGCCGAGCACAAACGCACACGCGACGCGGCGGTCTGGGAGCCGCACGACGGCATCATCCTCGTCCGGGAGCGAGAGGAAGATGCTCCAGCGGCCCTCCCCATCCGTACATCTGGTGCAGTGGCCCTGCCCCTGCGTGTCCTCCGCTAGCACGCAATCGCCAGTGCCAAATGTGCGCTTCTCGCCGCGCCCGGTTGTGACCTCGGTCTTGGAGTTGAGGCAGACGATGATTTGCCGCCGCGGCGCGTTGTGCCACGGAAAATCGTACGTGCCTTGGTGTAGCGGAGGTAGATGCCGTCGCACGGGATCTTGTCACTCAGCTTGCCGATGGCACCGCCGGGCTTGAGCGGGAAGCTCGCCTCACCCCAGAAGCTCTCCTTGCCGTCATCGTACAAGCGTATCATCCTCCACGCATCGGGGTCGTCACCGCTGTTCGGAGGGTGCTCCATATGCGGTTGTAGCAAGCAGAGGCTGATCGGCCGTGCTGCAAAATCAAACGGCTTAACTGTTTTCAGGCGACGCGGCGCGCGGCCAGGCCGGCAAACAACGCGGCCGGCAAAAGTTGCGCGCGGTTTCTTTGCTTTGGTTTCTTCTGTTGGTAGGTGTATTCTGTTCTAGGTTACTTCCTCGTAGAAAGTAAAATTCTTTTTCGTTTCGCTCAAGAACTCGCACCGCGACGGCAGTTCAGGTGCGGCAGCGAGAGAGAGAGATTTTTAGAAGCCAACAAGAAATGTGTCATTTTATAAAGAAAAGAAATGTGTCACACAGAGTGATTTGCGCTCGGCAGCTTGTCGACTACCAGCCGGAGCCGGAGTCGGAACCGTAGCCGAGATGGTCTTCGAGGGTGTCGAATATGTCATTCGCCTCGCCAGTGGAGCCGGTGCCGCTTCTTGGCAGCGACGGTTCGCACCAGCAGGCGCAGCCGGTCCTCCTCCACCGTCCGCCCCTGCCGCACGCGCCGCTCCCGGTGCGAAGGGGCGTCGCGTTGGGCGGCGGGCAGGGCCCCTCCCACAGAGCGTCGAGCGAGGCGCCCCTGCGCGCGGCGCGGCATGTGGCTATTCGTACTCTTTGTTTGCGTGGGTGAGTGAGTGACACACACACACACACACACACACACACACACACACACACACACACACACTTTGCGTGGGGTGGTGGGGTGGGGTACCTCGAGAGAGGGTGGTGGGGAGGGGAAACGGAAGTCGGCGGTCAACGGCGCTTCGAGATGCTGGGGTGGCTCCGCTCGCTCTTCGAAGGGCCGCCTTCGAGTCGAGCCGGCTACCTGCTGGTGCCATCCGCGGCCGGGCGTGAGAGAGAGACCGGCGTCGGCTGCGGCCGCCCTCGCTCGACCAGGCAGGCTCAGGCCGTTGCCGTGGCCGCTGTGAGCGCCGCCATGGCCAGCGAGGGGTGCAGCAGGGCCTTCTCGGCCATCAGTGGCGGCGTATCGGCGCTGCACCGGGGCTCTGCAATCATACTGCTCCTGTTCCTCGTCTTTCTCGGCATCGCTGCCGCCATCGCCGACGGGGTGGTCACCGCCGAACGCGCGGCGAGGGTGTGGTCCGTGGTGCTTCCGGGCGTGCCGCTCGTCGCGCTGCCGATCTCGGGCCTGCTGCTCCGGGACGACGAGATCTTCGCGCTGGTCGGCGGGCAGAGCGCGGAGGCGCTTAGCTTCGAGCGGCTGTCGGGCTGGGTGGCGCCGACGCCCTTCATATGTGTGGTGAAGGCCAGGGC